ATGGGGGCCAAACCCAAAGAGGCAAAAATTAATTATTTGGACAAAAATTAATTCATGCACAAACCACAGAACCACCTGCAATGCACACACAGGCATAGAGTGCATCCAGGGCCCACGATTTCAAGGAAGGGGCTTGACTAAGCAGAAAAAAGCCAGAAGTCCCTACGGTGGTGGAGTTGGCGATAAGCAGCTCTGCTGACAACCTCTTCCTGTAGGAAAAGCAATTCAGAACACCTCCTGGAGTCTTTGCTAAACTGCCTCCATCGTCTTAAAAATAACTCATTCTATGCTAATTGATGAAAGAATTAAATACGTAGAAAGGACTGATTTCCCAGATATAAGACTTTCTCTCGGGAAGCGCTAAAATCTTTAGAATCTGAATTCTTTCTCTCCCTTCCAAATGCTCCTGTTTTCCTGACTGAATCCCAGCTGTGGCATCCCAGGAAAGGCACTGAGGGGCAGAGGTTCCAAGGAAAAGGCTCGGAGGCCATCCGTGCCTGGGAGCTTGCTCAGAAGAGGCGGCCACTCTTCTGCAGACACTTCTTAACGAGGGGAAAGGACGCTGTGCTTTGGTGCCATTTTATTTCCCCCAGTTACATAAGAAGTAGGAGAAGAGATGCTGACATTATTTTTAGCTCTCACAGACAAAAATAGAACGCCGGCTTTCATACACGTCAGGAATGACTGCCTCCAGGTTCCCTGAAAGTTGGTGGAGAGTTGGAGATGTTGACAAGGCCTGCCTACCTCTCCTGATCCCAGCCCCGCAGGGCAGCCGTCCCGGGGGAGGACGAGGCAGGACATGCATTCTGCCGGCTGGGGCGAGCCTGCTCCCTGGCCAGAAACACTCAGCTAGGACAGAGACCATGTTACTACCTGGGTGTCCTCGAGAGCAGGCGCCTGTTGGTGACCTCCCCGGGTCATCACGGACCGGAGCACACGCCAGAGGACGGGAGACGAGAGAAGGCACAGGCCACCTGCGATCCAGACACCTTTTCTTCTGAGTGACAAGTCCATCTTGTCCTTCCCGCCCTGACCCGGCGCGAGCACGTTTCCAGGCAGAACTCTGCTCCGGGTGGGAGGCGGTGCTGAGCAGCGGGGTCTGCAGGACCCTGCGGTGACGGTTCCAGTTACACCATCAGTGGCTAATCTGCCTCTTTAAAAGGAAAAATATGATGGCCCGGGTGACAGATCAGAAACAGGTGCGGGGCAGAGGGAGACCGGCTGGCGACAAGTGACACCCCAGAGAACGCGCTTGTCTCCCGTTCAAGGACAATTAGCGCCAGGGAAACGGGGCACCGCCAGGGAGCTCTCTCCTGCCCACGCGGGCAAGGGACACGGGCTGGGCGGGAGGGGGATGCACGGCCTTAAACACCGCAAGCCCTCCACCCGCAGCTACGTTATTTTGAGATCTAAGTTATAATCACGGTGACCACCGCTGATGGCACAATTTCACCGCAGTGAGGCAGGAATGGCCACCTGCTATTAAATGCACCAGCTGCCATCGCAACAGGGAGACCCGAGCTTTGTCCCATCCCACTCTTCGCCTACTCACATCCTGATAATAAATAGTTTGTTCTGTTTGGTCTTTGCAGCATTTGTACCCGGTGGTTCAACATTCCTGGAGCTGTGACCCCCACCTCCGTGTGGTCCCTTCCTCCCCGGGGGCCATGCCTGTCGGGGGGGTGGCTGAGGATCAGAGGACAGGAGGTGAGCACAGACAAGCCAGGTGAGAAAAAGCAGGGGTGTGCAGAGCCGGTGGGGCGGCAGAGGGAGCAGAAAGAACCACGGGGGAGAACGGACTCAGGTTGCTGAGGACAGGAGCCCTTTGGTCTTCCATTAGCAAACAGAAGGGGTGTGTGTGTGTGTGTGTGTGTGTGTGTGTGCACACGCGTTTGCATGTATCAAACAGCAAGTCAGATCTGAGGGAAATACATCATGGTGATTATTTATATGGGGAACAGAGAGGTAACAAAAGAGGAAAACCTGGATTTGATTGTGTAAAAGGAATGCTAATCATAGTTACGAGAGTCGTTATCACTCTGAGTTAATGACGACACGGTAGCTATGAAGCCATCACTCACGTGAGCCACGTTCATCATTTAAGTTTCACTCTGTCTCCACACCATACAGTGTGGCTTTCCACCTGGTTTATTGCGGTGTATCTGCTCTGTGCCGAGCCGCTTCCGTCGTGGCCGACTCTGCGACCCCATGGCTTGCAGCCCTGCAGGCTCCTCTGTCCCTGGGAGTCTCCAGGCAAGAAGAGTGGAGTGCGTTCAGGGACCCACTTCAGAGCTGCGCCCACCCACAGGAGAGCTGTGCCCTCCTCCAGGGAATCTTCCCGACCCAGAGGCTGAACCCACACCTCTTAATATGTTCTGCGTAGGCAGGCGGGTTCCTTAGCACTGCCGCCACCTGGGAAGCCCAGGGTATCTGTCACAAGCTTTTAAAAATCCTACACTGTTTAGGTGATTTTGAACAGTCTGGAGAATATAAGAGACTATAAGAAAAGCCTTTCAAAAACAGAATCAGAAGGGAAGTTGGAAAACAAAAGGAACAAAACATAGTGGAAAACTAGAATATGTGGTATTCTATCAATTCAAAAACTAAATCAGAGGAAGAGACAGAAGAGAGGCAAAAAAAATAAAGCCAGAAGAGGAAAAATGAGTGAAACAGAAAAACCTGGTTAAGAGCCGAAAAAGAAGAATCGGGGCTACACTGAACTATGTCGATAGATGTAAGTTGTGGAATGCACAGACAGTTTGTTCTTGTTAGGAGAGAAAAGACTCTTCTAGAAAGAACTTGCGCTTTAGGCCTTCCGTGCAGATTGCCTGTCACCAGAGTGACTGCCATGCAGAGTAAATTCCCCCCAGGGCAGCGCAGTGAGGTTTTCTACTATGATTAGCTGTGCTAATCTTCTTAAAGAGAAGGGATGAAGAGACAGAGAAGTGGTGGAGAGAGTCATGGAGGGCATGTTTTTATGGTCCCTGGAGAGAAAGGCCTGGGATTGTGAAGATTTCCCGTGGCCCCAGCAGGAGACGGAGACGTGTCAGCCCAGCTCCGTCTGCATTCCTGACGACATCCGAGCCGCTGGAAGGCCCTCTCCGCCCAGCCCTGCCAAGGCCCTGCTGGCCGCCCGGGCACCGGCTCACTGGGCCAGCGAGGGCCTCGGGGACTGTGGCCTTGGCAGACACAGAAAGGAGAAGGACTCTGTGCCTCCCGTCCTGGGCCCGTCCATCCCCCGCAGGGCGAGAGAGCCGGGGAAATTTACTGGCGACACCTCTGGGCCCTGAGCCACTCAGCAAAAAACTGAATGGGACACGCGGCGGTTCCTCCCCACCTTCCGCGCCGCCGGACATCAGACCCGTCGCACAGGACCTTCTCTTAGGATCTCAGGGTCAGCATCCTCAGACGTTCCCTCAGAAGTATCCTAAAGTTTTTCACTTCCCAGTCACTTGATTTCTCTGGAGCAGATCATCACCAAAACAGTTCTTCCTGAAAATGTTTCCACCTAGCACCGTCTTGCCTACTTACAAAATTTGTATCACAGAACTTGGCGAAAAACTGTCCTGGAAACATATTCAAACTCATAGAAACTATCACAAATCATTGGCTATTTCCAAGTTCGCCTATAAGAATACTTTATCTCCCCTGTTCTACAGAAATTAATGAACAGAAAAGGACACCCCTCTGATTACTCATTTGCATTGCAAGCAGCCCAAAAGAGGAAGTCCTTGGATCTGACTTCAGTTTTGCCCAGGAAGTTTCTTCTTGGTGTGTGCTGGACAAGATGTTAACTCACGGGGAAAGGTCGGTCTCCAAACACCACGCTTCAGCCCGACTCATTCCCTCTATCCAGCAAGATTCATCTCTCTGCACTCACAGTGAAAAGACTCCTTCGCCCTTTATACCTAATAGCTGTGTTCCACTGTCTGTTGTATCTTTAGAAACGCCCTTCCTACCTGGAGAGGGTTTTTCGAAATAGAAATTGGACAAAGAGGAAAGTGAAAGTAAAGTCGCTCAGACGTGTTCGACTCTTTGCAACCCCATGTCCTGTAGCCCGCCAGGCTCCTCTGTCCATGGGATTCTCCAGCAAGAACACTGCAGTGGGTTGCCATGCCCTCCGCCAGGGGATCTTCCCAACCCAGGGATGGAACCCGGGTCTCCCACATTGCAGGCAGACACTTTACCATCTGAGCCCCCCGGGGAAGGACAAAGGGGGATGTTTCCCAAACTCGCTCTGATTATCAGAAATAATGATCCTGGCCCTCCAGGGGAACACGGGACACACCTCAACAGACCTGTCCGTTCTGCAAACGTCTCAGTGCCTGTTTGGTGCTGTGAGCAGGAGAGAAGGCAAGGGGGGTGACGTGAGGTCCCGACCTTGATGAGGGCGTCCGGGGCAGGGTGACAAAGAAGTTCCAGCAATCGCAGGTGAGACCCCGTCTGGGCGGGAGGGAGCGGGAGGGACCCAGGGGGCCGAGCAGGGGACAGAGCCCGCCGGTCCACGCCCCCGGACACCCCTCACCGCGAGTGCTGGGGGCTTGCCGCCAGCAAGACCTGTCCCCGACCCCAGCGGCCACTGTTGACAGCCCTGACCCCTACTCCACGGAGACCTCGGGGTCCTGAGGGAACTCGACACTCGTGCAGAGCAGCTGTGGCCCTCGCACGCTTCTCCAGATTGCATGCCCAAACCTCCCCTCCTAAGAAACTGCGCTTCCACGCCACCCCCGTAACCTCTAAGCCGGGCGCCAGACCGCGGTGGCGCCCACAGGGAAAGCTGCACGTTCAAAGGCCTCCCAGCGGCGACCGCTCCCACCTGGGGGCAAACCTCCGGGGAACGAAGCGGGGGTTTGCTGGTGCATAGAGCTTCCTTAATTCTACACCAGGGATGACAACACAGAATCTGAAAACCATCTGATAGATGGGGACGGGCGTTGCTTTAAGTGAGAAAACAGAAGGCAGGACTGACCCTTGCCAGGAGACCAAGCCACCACAAGTACCTGGCTCTTTCCAGATCTCGAATCTTGTTCACCAGAACTTTCTTCCAGAAAGCACTTCTCTACCTCCTCCATGCACTGGAAAAAAGCCATCTTCTCCAGCTGCTCACTGCGGTAACACGCGTTGACTCCTTCCAGCCTCTTCACTGTCAGCATCTTGGTGGTGAGCCCAAGGAAGCTGGTGTCTGGAGCTTGGTCTCCGTCCCCCTCGGTCTCTGGTTTGTAAATGAGGACACAGTCATCATGACTCTTCTCTACGCTGCAAGCGGGGAAAGAGCTCCCATCACTGAGACACACGTTTGACTCTGGGAAAACCAACACTGGGAAGTTTGAGGTTGCTTCTATTTAAACTAGAGAAAGGGCCCCAAATGAGGAAGAGAAATGAAAATATTAACCTTGAGTTTCACATGTTGGAACTTGGAAAGGAAAAAGCTTTCTCTCCCTTCTTTTTCCTACAAAAGAAAATAGTGAGAAGCAACCTGGAGCATCACAGGGCCTCGCTGCCGAATAGAAGATCTAGGCGAAGCGGCCGGTTTAAGGAGACAGTCTGGGTTTAACTGGCTTGCTGGCCTTGCCCCTCTGGCCCAGGTGGGAAGGGCATGTTGTGTGAGGAAGGGGGCCCCGGGACTCCCCCGGGAATTCTGCCCCCTCAGGGGAGTGGTCTCACCAAATGTGCCATTTTCAGAGCCTTTCACTGCCTACGTCTTAAAATGTTTATTTTAAAAAGAACTTTGCTTCCTAACAGTTCTCTCACATACATGAGATTCCCAGACACCTTTCTCTGTGTCATTAGCAGCTGAGCACCAAAGATTTCATACCCTAGATACACTTTCCTTATGGACGAAGTAATAGCCTCATTACTGCTCTGATACCAAAGCCCCACACGGGTGTCTGCATCCACGCATCTCCTGACCACTTCGGGGAGGCTGATGCAAACTTGTGATCGGTCCCCTCCGGAGGCTCCCTGTCGGAGATTTTCTGGAAATTGCTTCTTCCAACTTTTTCTCAATTTGAAATCATCTGTAATTATCCCCACAAAACTTCATCTTTCATTTTCTCAACTCCTCTAGTATAATAAAATGATACCTTGTACTCTAAATTATTTAAAATCCAATGCTCTTCACAATTCTACTGAACCGTAGAAAGACCATAAACTTATTCACACTAAAATGTGAACAGGATCAACCAGAGCTCTGTGAAATATACTACAGACCATCACCAGTGTTCTTACAAGTTACCCTGAAAAAATCTGTTATTATAATAAGGATTTCACGGCTACATCTAAAACAAACTAAAACTAAAATCTAATACATCATTGTAGAAGGTACTCAAGTTGGCTCAGGAAGCCACATAAAAATTAACACATTAAAACAAAAGCTTGGGTCCAAGATGTAAAAATTTTGCAGAGAACTATTAAACGTTAAGCTCTGCCTGGAGTTTGATAAAACTTGCTAGGTAAGACAACATAGAAATAAAGAAAGAAAATAGAGTGATTACCATTTAAAAGAGGACATGCTGGGGTTCAGACCACGCCAAGCGTAGAGCACAAGTTCCAGCAGATAAAGGGGAGTCTGCAGAGTTCAGAACGACTACTCAGCTCCCTGGTAAAGGTCTTGCCTTGCAGTCAGAGTAAGTCTTCTGAAAAGACAAGTGTCCATTCCGGGAGGAAGTAGCCTCTCTCTCGAATGCCACTTTGAGCCCCTGTTTAAACTCAGATGGTCCTTGATCTCATGTTGCTCAGCTGTTGCCTTCTTAGTCAGATGGGGAAGAATATTAATTTTAGACACCAGGCTTTTCAAAGCCGATGGCTCCATTTCAGAGGTCAGGTAAGGAGAGGTTGCACCGCAGCTGCGGATGAAATATCACCTTCACCTTCTCGTCGCGTAACGGCGGGAGCAGCCTCGGGACGACAAAGCTGCGTTTGTCTTTGCCATCGCACGCCCCGCTCTGCCGCCCTTTTCGGTCTTGGCATCTCGGTCACGTTCCCAGATTGGGGGTTCAAGTGTGGGAAGCCACCTTTTTTGCCCACCTTACACTTTGAACACATCCCACTACAATAGGAGAGAGCTTCTGCCAGCAAAAGCACTGGACAGTTTTAAGGTTCTCAGCGCTTAAGATTATTTGCAACATCTCCAGCTATTTACAGCTCCAGGGAAAGTTCAAAGGCACAGGCTTGCGGGGGAGTGACAAAGAACAGGAGTGAGGTTTCACAAACTCTCCCTGCAAAGAACACTCTGCCTCCCCCTGTCTTTCACCCCAGGCCAAGAAAAGAGAATCCAGTGCCAACAAACCACCTGCCTGATCCCAACAGCAGGGGATTCCTAGACTTACTGAAGTTGCATAAAACATTGATTCCCCAGAAAATAGAACTGATACAGATGATCCTGCAATTCTTTCGTTTTCATCGTTCACAGCCCCCTCTCTCCACCCCAACCCGTCTCTGGTGACCTCTTGCTTTTCAAAGACTAAAGCTCTTATCTTTAATTCAGATCAGTGTTTTCCATACTAAATAAGAAAGAATACATTTTCATTTTGAGTAGAATATAAAGAATTATAGTAAAATCTTTTAAAAAGCCATACTTTGGATATTTTTCTAGGACCAGAGAACTTTGCTCTTCAGGCAGAGTAACTTCACAATATTATATGTTTGCGAAAGATAGATTACATGACAGAATTGTCATGAAAAGACTGAACTGATTTGAGGTTATCAGTTTCCTTGGAGTAATTAAACTGTGAAGTATGGATAAGGTGACAAATGCCCACACCCAGAGAAAGCCAGGTGAGTGGCCTTCGGCTAATTTGACGGCATACTCTCCCTGGAGGCTCAGACGGTAAAGAATCTGTCTGCAGTGCAGGAGACCTAGGTTTGATCCCTGGGTTGGAAAGATACCTAGAGGAGGCCAATATTCTTGCCTGGAGATCCCACGGACAGAAGAGCCTGGCAGGCTGCAAAGAGTTGAACCTGACTTAGTGACTAAACAACAAGAAAAACAAATACTTTATTCAGGCTTTATGAGTTCCTCCCTAGTGTCCCTTTTCCACATTGGAATCTCATCAAGGACTTCATACTCATTTAGATCCACCAGGATTTATGATGGATTGGATGTGAGGAGTGAAAGGAAGCCGGGAGGCAAGGATGACTCTCCACGTCTTTTCCTGAGCATGTGGAGGCGGGAGCTGACATTGGCTGTGAAGGAGAAACGACTCTGGGGGGAGTCAGGACTTCCATGTTTGACAGATCTGTTAGATATCTGAATTCCATAGGTTGTGAGACAGAAACCTGGACTTCAGGGGAGAGGTCCCGGCTGCAGACATGAAGTCATCACAAGCAGACAGTTTCAGGCACAGTATATATTCGATACACATCTGTTGATTGATCACTAGTGCAGTTCAATTCAGTCGCTGAGTCGTGTCCGACTCTTTGCGACCCCATGAACTGCAGCACACCAGGCCTCCATGTCCATCACCAACTCCTGGAGTTTACCCAAACTCATGTCCATCAAGTCGGTGATGCCATCCAACCATCTCATCCTCTATTATCCCCTTCTCCTCCTGCCTTCAATCTTTCCCAACATCAGGGTCTTTTCAAATGAGTCAGCTCTTAGCATCAGGTGGCCAAAATACTGGAGTTCACTAGAGAGGTTTTTAACTGTGCCTAACTGCCCTAAAGGAAAAGTCAATGGAAAGAACTACTATCATTCTACTTTTCTAAAATTAGACAGCAGTAGTGCAGTTCTGCTATGTCACACCATCTCCAGCATCTGGTGGTGCTGAGCACAAGCAGCCTAGTACAATCCTGACCACCAAGAAAAACAGGTAATGCGGGCGGACCCGCTGTGGCCTCTCCACCTCACCTTAGCAAAGTCCACACCATAAAATAACCAAATGTCTCTAAAGGTGCTGTTACTAGTGGGAAACTTCACAATAGAGGTGGAAACAGCTCCAGACATTTTCCCTGGATTTCCCTCATACTATGGAGCTACAAATCTTTTATAAAAATCCTAATCTTAGGTAAAGAATCCTCCTGCAATGCAGGAGATCCAGGTTCAATCCCTGGGTCGGGAAGATCCCCTGCAGAAGGAAATGGAAACCCACTCCAGTACTCTTGCCTGGAGAATTCCATGGACAGAGGAGCCTGGCGGCTAAGTCCATGGGGTCACAGTCAGACACAACTGCGCAACTAACACGTTCACTTTCTTCAACCTTAGAAAACATCATTCCTAAGGGCCATAGAAACTGCGATCGCTTTCAGTGGACATCGACCAGCACGAGAGTGTGCTGTCTCAGGAGCGGGTGAGGCAGGCGTGGCCAGGGACTCTGAGTTCTGGCTGGTGTGCAGACAGCCTGGACATTGCTGACAGCGTCTGCCTGTGCTTGGCATCCTGAGGGTCTCAGAGCAGCAAGGCTCTTGCATGTCTACACACAAGAGTGCAGCCAACTTCACAAACCCCAAAATGCAAAGAAGGACCCCCCACTATCTACACAGCTATTGGACTTTCCTTTCAAAAAGCATCATTGACTATGATCCATGAAAGCAAATATTGATACACTGTACTCACCAAAATTCAAAATTTGCTCCTCAAAAGACACCATTGAAAAATGGAAAAACAAGCTACAGACTTGGAGAAAATACTGTGAAACCTCATATTTGATAAAAGACTCATATCCTGACCCTTACAAATCAGCAATATGAAGACAACCCAATTCTAAAAATGGACAAGAGATTTGAAGGACATCTTATAAAAGAAAATATATAATAGTTAATATGCACACAAAAATGCTCAAAAATCTGTCATTAGAGGGATGCAAGTTAAAATCACAACGAAATAACATTTCACACCCACTAGTGGAACTATAATAAAAAGATAGATGAAGGACATGTTGGTGAGGATGTGGAATAACTGGAACCCTCAACATACATGTTGGAGGAAACATAAAGTGACGCAGGTCTTAGGAAATAGGTTGGCAGTGGGCTAACGTCATTCTCCATCTGACCTAACAATTCTTCTCCCAGGCATCTACCCAAGAGAAATGGAAATACGTGAACAAACAAATCCTTGCTTGCAAATATTCAGCAGTGTCCTTCACAACAGCCAAAGCCCAGAAACAATCCACTGTCCAGCAGGGATTCAGTGAACGGAGAAAAGTGCTCCATG